AAATGAACCACCTTCCTCCTCCCCACAAAAACCAACCAACCAATCAACCATCAACCAAACTTCAAACTGCTTTTAGTAATCATACTGTTGTTATTGGTGGTGGTGGTATTGCTGTTATATTACAGTGTAATATATGTGTAACATATGATGAAACAAATAGTAATTATGTGTTACATTAATCTTATAATTCCTGGCAATGAAATGGAAGAGAAAGGAAATACTGATATACGATAGAAGAGATTCAATTAGAACAGCCTGCTGCTGAATTTGAATTGGAAACAATGACCAATAGTAACAATAAGCACTTCTAGCACCCATTACAAAAAAGGGGCTTCTTGGAGAAATGGCAAGTCTAGACCTAGGGCAGGAAATGTAAAACATGTCTGGAACACCTTGTAAAACTAACGTGCAAATTCACTTTATCTGGTAATGTCCCAAGGACTCAGAAGCCAATATAAACAGACTCTTAATGACCAAAGATGGTATAATGGTGCTAATCAATAAGGATACTATAACTGCAGTGGACTGAAACACATCCTATATAATAAAAGTGTAGTATGAAAATTGTCCCCTCAACAGGAGTTCTGGGAATTCGACCAAGGGTGAGCCGGCCGGGGGAAGGGAAGGAGACCCTGGCAGGTGGGGCTGGCAGGCGGCCAGGGGAAGGGAGGGAGTACCCGGCTGGCAGTAGGCAGCCAGCAGCTGCTAGGGACCCTTACCAGTGCACCAATTTCGTGCACCGGGCCTCTGGTAAGATATGTTTAAATGCAGGGACTCCTAAAGCTACTTAGTCCTCAAAAGATCATCAGTCCTTTTTATACTTCCTCTAATCCACTCTGGAGAAAGGGCATTATTAATCTCTATTGTTAGTTTTCCCTAAGACTTCTACCTTAGTCAAAGCAGGAATAGGTAGAGGGTAATTATCTTGGTGAAAGGTCAGACAATTGAGCCAGAATATGAAGAAGTATCATTCATCTATTCAACTGGTTTCTGCTAGGTTACAGACCAGACATGAAATGTCAATAAACTAAACTGTAACCTATTATTCTTTGTTCTACTATCTCCAACAAGTCAAAAATTTAGAACTCACTGTAGCCTAATCAGCCTCAAATTCTCAGAGTAAAACATCTCCTTCACTGTTTGCTTCAGCTCATTTCAATATGAATGAATTAGCACTATTCTGTGCACAATGCAGTTGGTAAAGCAGCATGTAAACAATTAGAGATGATGATGAATCAGCCAGGAATACCAGAAAGGTTTGAGTTTGGTAGAAACCGATCAAGTAAAGAAATGAGGCAAATGAACCACTGTGTGCAAAGACACTTTGATATGAACCAGCAAGGACTGTCAGGAAACTAAAAGTAGCCCAGTATTGACATGGTGAAAAACATGGAAAGAAATATGAGAAGTAAGAGCTAGGAAGATGCCTGATCATTTCCAAATAACCACATTATTTCTTAAATAATATTAATCATAGAGGCTAAGTAGCTTGGCCAAGGGCACAAAGCTAGTGAATGCAAAACCAGGATTTGCAACAAAGTTAACCCCAAATATTTCATTTAGCAAAGTGACCCAATTTTCCAAGGTTATTCCTGGTTTCTAACAGTTGTCTCTACATTAGTATTAATGGGGCCTTTAACCCTAACAAGTGCTCTGATCTGGAGATATCTTCACCCTAACTCTTAAGCTACCCACCATGCTATATCTTTCTAGGCCCAAGAAAACTAGGGTTTCATTAACTTCTCACACTCATCAGTGGAATTAATTGCTGAAAGACATAATGCTGATAAAATAATCATGCATTTGGAAAAGTTTGGGGCTATCACCTTAACAAATAACCCATTATATACTAGGTAATTTCTATAAACATGGTCATAATTTTAAAAAGTACATATGGCAAAAAAAGAAATTATTTTCTAATTTGTTTGCACAGGACCTAAGAAGCATATATTCCATATCCTATCTCCCCCAAAATAAAAAGTTATAGTTACTTTATTGAAAATATTAACATCTGAGCAGACTATTCATCCCCCTCACACTTGTTTACTGGCATGTAAAAAATTGGATAAGCCAGATTCTTGCTTCTTGCTTTTCCAGAGTAGACAGAGGCAAAGATTAAGCCAGGCCAATAAGCTGCAGTTAGAGGGTTGCCCTCCCTTGACATACACAGAATATTAAGAAGATAATTTCCACTCTTCAACCAATTTTTATTTTGTTTTTGGGATGGGCATATGGAAAATCACAAGTCAGGAGCTGTAGTGATCATCTTGCCACTAAGAGGGGGCCAGGGTAGGCATAAGGTCCGTATTTAGGAAAGTCAGAAGAAGAAAAAGCATGAAAGACCCCAGGACCTAGATGATCATCAAGCAGTTTAATAAACCTGAATGCCCTTCCTCTAAAGCAGTGGTCGGCAAACTCATTAGTTAACAGAGCCAAATATCAACAGTACAATGACTGAAATTTCTTTTGATAGCCAAATTTTTTAAACTTAAACTTCTTCTAATGCCACTCTTCAAAATATATTCACCCACGCCGTAGTATTTTGTGGAAGAGCCACACTCAAGGGGCCCAAGAGCTGCATGTGGCTCGCGAGCCGCAGTTTGCCGAACAGGGCTCTAAAGTATATATTATCCTCCATAACAAGAGCTCTTATTTTTTAGGGCATTTTAAACCTGAAATACTTACTTGCAGCTAAAATCATCCCAAATGCCACAATGGGTTATCAATAAGTCTACAAAAATTATTCCATAGGAAATTATTTAGGACAATTATCTTTTCAAACTCAGAAACATAAATAAAAAAATAAAACACAAAGATTAAACACCTAAAGAAAAAAATTGGGTTTTCATTTTCCCAGAAGAGATAATAAAATAATGGTCAAAAGTTAACATATACTGAGTACTTTCTGTGGGCCAAATATGCTTGATGAGTTATATCAGTTAACCCCCACAGCAAACCTTGGCAATATCATTCCTATTCTATAGAGAAATAGAGGAGAAAACAGAAGCTTATAAAAGTTAAGCAAGGTCATACCACTTGAGTGGTTGAGGAAGCTTTCATAACCCACCTCAGTTGACCCCAGTGTCTAAGAACTAAATATTTAAGGACAGCTAAAGATAAATACACATTAGCTATTTTTTCTATTATGAAGAGATCCAAATCATATGCATGAAAAGAACAGAAGGAGTTTTGAGAACCATAATTATAATTATAGAACTTGAGAACCATGGTTATAATTATGAACAATCACTATTGTTTTGCAATGGCAAAAAGACCTCCTTTTATTTATTTACTAGTGGCCCGGTGCACAAAATTTGTGCGGGGGTGGGGGGTTGGGAGGAAAGAGGTTGAGGAGGTGTCCTTCAACCCAGCCTGCAGCCTCTTCAACCTGGGACCTCTTGGGGGATGTCTGACTGCCAGGGGATATCCCTGTGAGATCCGGCCTAAATCAAAAGTCAGACATTCCTCTCGAAATCCAGGACTGCTGGCTTCTAACCGCTTACCTGCCTACTTGTCCAACTGCCCCTAACCACTCTGCCTGCCAGCCTGCTTGCCTCTAACTGTCCTCCCCAGCTGACCTCATGACCCCCAACTGTCCTCCCTGGCTAGAGGCCCTCTGCAGTCGGGTGTGAACACTTGCCTTGTCACCAGGCGATGACGCAAGGATCCCTCTCCTCAACCTGGTAGCTCTGTGCCCTCTGCCCAGAGGCCCTCAGCAGCCAGGATGGAAAGCTTGCCTCGTCGCCGTGGCAATGAAGCAAGCATTCCTCCAGGCTGCTCACACTGCGCCCTCTCAGTGGCCACCTCCTTGGGATTGGGGTACTCCGGCAGGGCTGAGAGGACTGGGCGCTGCCATCTTTGTGATGAAGCAATAACTAATTTGCATATTACCCTTCTATTAGATAGGATTTTTTAAATATGGTTTTATTTGTTTTTAGAGAGAGAGGAAGGGAGAGGGATGGAGAGATACAAACATCAGTGATGAGAGAGAATCACTGATCAGCTGACTCCTGCACTCCCTCTACTGGAGATTGAGTGCAACCTGGGCATATGCGATGACTATGAATTGAACTCGCTGAGTTTTTGGTTCCTGTGTCAATGCTAAACCACTAAGCCACACTGACCAGAGAAATCATATAAAGAAGTCAAGGCCCAGAAGGAAGAAACAAATTACTAAAAGACATAGTGCAGTTAGTGTTAAGTCAGTAATAAAACACAATGCTGATCTTTTGATTCCAAGGTCAGAGCACTTTCATTTCACCAAAAACTGCCTCTCCTTTAAATTGAAGTATCAGATCTTTAATATTCATGATATGTGTGTGTGTGTGTGTGTGTGTGTGTGTGTGAAATATACAAAGAAATAAAACTAAAAGTTTACTAAGAGAGATTCACAAAGTTGAAAAGCTTTGATGTGTGCAGATAGACAATAAAAGTATTTATAGTGTTGAAACATAATAAGAAGAAAAAAAATTTAATGAAAAAATTATTTTGTCAAGATATTCAGACTTCCTGTTAAAAGCTTAAAGAATTGAATTTTCTTAGAAAGTACCCACTCATTAAAGGTGGTTAATACAATGATTCTCACTGAATTTGGAAGTAATCCTAATAAAAATTAAACAAGCATAAATTGACTAAATGGAGAACTCCCTATAGCAAAGTAACCAAATTGAAAAGTATTGTTAATGTCTAACAATTAATAATTGCATAGGGATAGACTTGAATTATTTGACAATTCTGTACATGTTCTCAAAAGAAAAGAAGATGAGGGTGAAGCATGTGTACAATCAATTACTCACATTATACAAAGTACCAAAAGCCAGAGGTGGGGAGACAAGGTGAGGATCTCATACCGGTATCAATGGACTCAATATTAGGATTCCCAAGAACCACTTATTCTCTTTTCTGGGAAGAAAAGCTCATCTACCTTTAAGAAAATTTTCTGTAAAATGTAAGGACTCTATAATTGTATTTGAATAGAAGTAAACAGAGAACTGGCTTACTCTGCAATATCAAGATATCCACAGGAAGCAGCTGCGTGTAGTGGTATCCAGCCTTCATTATCAGGTTGATTAATATTTGCTCCATTTTCTACCAGAAACTTCACCATATCAACATTGTCATCAATGCAAGCCTAAAAACACAAAAAAAAAGTTTTGAAAATTACATAGGAATTGTTCACTTAGAAAGTTAACTGGAAGGAACTTTAATAAGCAAATGCACTACTTTTTTTTTTTTTTTTTTAAGCATAGAATAAACAAATAGCAAGTCATCCAATGGTATAAAATATCTATAAATTATAAAATAGGATAATGCTAGGTCATAAAAGGTCTGAAGATAATGCAAAAAGGTGTCTGGATTGGATACAAAGGTTGTATTAAATCTGCTTTCTACTCCTACACATCAAGGAACCTGCTACATTGAGCCAGTGGCTCAATTCAGCAGTAGGGTGAAGTATTAGAAGACATTTTAGAATTTCAAGATGATGTTTGAAAAGCTATTCAGAGTTTTTAAGCAGATGGGGTGACATAATCAGATCAGTATTTTACAAAGAAGACTGAAAGCAATATGAAAAGGGAAGAGTACCCAGACTGGGGCTACATTAAAAAAAAAAAAAAAAAAAAAAAAGCTTAGGAGAAAATGTGCAAGATTAATTAAAGATTAAGTATGAAGAGTAAAGGACAGAGAGAAGCCATCCATGGAAATAAATACCACAGATTTTGAGGAGCAGTTTGAGGAAAGTAAAATGTTTTTTTAGCTTTGGGATATGCTGAATTTATAGTTATCTGTATCTCTATCCAATCACCTATAATTAGTGGCCAATTGGTTACGCAGATCTTTGAAAATAAATGTGGGATGAAAATGTGGGAATTATCTTCATTAAGATAATAATTAAAATAATAGGACCTGAAATCACTCAGGGAGAGAATGCAGAGAAGTGACTATGAAAACATTAAGAAAAGGGTTAGATTAAATTATGACCAGTAATTCTACTTGGAAGACAAAGACATTTGTGATATTTTATTCATTTAGTTAAAGAGAAAGTTTTCAACGTTACCATCTCGTAAAGAAGACACATACATAAGTAGATGAGTATATCAAAAGGAATGTGATAAATACAATTACAGAGCCTGCATTGGTTATTGTGGAAGCTTAGAAAAAAAGAGCCAAGGAAGAATGGTGGTAGTCAGGAAATATTTCCTAGAGGCGGCTCTACACCTGAGCTTAACATACGAATAAGTGAAACTTTTCCTGGTGTATGAGAGGCAAAGTCAAGATACATGGGCCGATAAAGGTAGGCAGGATCTAGAATAGTCTTATTTCTTTTATTGTATGAGTAATACTTTGAGATTGAGATAAAACATTTTCAGGAGGAATGATTAATTTTTAAAGTTTCTCCATTTTAGGAAGGTGAATGACTAGGCTAGTAGAAAAACTTTTATGTTTTCCCAGTATAATGTAAGAAAAACCAATAAAAATATCTAATGTAGTTATTGTTAAATATGATTATTTTGTTACAAGTTTTTGAAATGTTTAAATATAAATTAAATGCTAAAAACACTGTCACAAAGTATACATTATATATGAATCCCAAGTTTGTGGTGTAAACTGTTCCAAATATTCTCTTGAGCATTTAGAAAGCACAGTCAAAAAACTGGCAAAGCTTTCTCATAACAATATTGTTGCTAAGAGAATCAAAAGCTAGCACATGCAGCACATTAAGAGACACATGATTTGCTGTCTTTAAATATTTGACTAAATATGGAAAGAAACAGAACAACTCAAATATACGTGCAAAATATTATCTGACATGGTTTATCTTGAATTTTTTCTGAATACATTTCCAGAGCAATCGCCATTAATATATGGCTGTGTGAAGATACTTCTGTCTTTTTAAATCTAGGTAGGGGCAGCTTTGTCAACCTGAACTGTAAACTAATTCAATAAACTAGTTTATGTATATAAGTCATCTGTTTTTATTTTAAAGGGGGCCTATAATTTTTCTCAAGAAATTAGCTGAAGGACACTGTTCCCCACACATTTTAAGGAAAAAGCTGAATAATGAAGCTGTACAACGCTGGCTCAAAGTAGACGGAGTCCATGGCTTACAGACAGATTTTGGGTAGGGCATGTGTATCTTTAAAAAAAAAAATCATTAAATTTCATTCCTAGAAAAAATAAAAACAAATGTGTTTAGCAACTATGGAATTCAGTTACGTAAAATCACGATTACAAATTTAGCAAGATCTGAAATATATTCTGATAGTGTTATATTCCTTTTCATGAAAGCTGTTTTGTTAAAAGTACACTCTAGAGCTAGACTGTCTGGGATTAATCCAGTTCTGACAGTTACTAGTGTCATTGGATAAATTATTTAAAATTCTGTGTACCACAGTTTGCTCTAAAAAAGGAGAATAATGGTACCCACCTGAAAAGTTTACAATGAGAAATATATGAATACATAAAGCACAGAAAGAATAGTACCTGTCAAACAGTAATTGCTACTATTTGTATCAATACATATGCCATGTGCTGTATCATACATTTAAATTTTCTTTTTTCTTCTATTCTTATCCAAAACTTACTTTTTCATCCTTCTATAAATTACAAAACAAAATTAGATGGTGGATACTTATCAAATATTCCTTTTAGTACCACTACTTTTGGTAAAAGTCCCATCTACCAATGATTTCTAAGAGGATGATTAACTTTTAACTTTAGAAAATCTTCTAAACCGCTGAAACCGGTTTGGCTCAGTGGATAGAGCATCAGCCTGTGGACTGAAAGGTCCCAGGTTCGATTCCGGTCAAGGGCATGTACCTTGGTTGCGGGCACATCCCCAGTAGGGGGTGTGCAAGAGGCAGCTGATCAATGTTTCTCTCTCATAGATGTTTCTAACTCTCTACCCCTCTTTCTTCCTCTCTGTAAAAAATAAAAAAATAAAAAAAATAAAAAAGATTGGCTTAAAAAAAAAAAAATCTTCCAAACCCCTTCAAACACTTTTATAATACAAGTTTTACATAAGCTTACTCATACAAATTATATACAATGCAAAATAAAAGATTTAGTTGTATAAATGCAATTATAACAACTTAGGTGAAAATGTGATTTTAGTGAATTAGTTGAATTGCTTACAATTTGTGCCTAACCATTAGTAACCATTACTGATAACAAACAAATTAATTTGAATTCAAAGTTCTCTAAATCAATTTATACTTCCTTGAAACAACTCTTTGACTCCTTAGTAAGAAAAACTCAGTTCTGTTCAACTGATGGGAGCAGAAATTTGTAGATATACTAGAAAACTGCCCATGCCTTAAGCATTCCGAGTGACAGATGTCAGTGAGTATGCTTAAAGAAGAACTGAAGTGAAGATATAAAAGCAAGTTTTTGTTCCATTTTAAAGAAAACTGAATTGGATATATCAAACAAGGAGCTGTGGGTGTGGTTTATACAAAACAAAGAAAAACTCCAAGCAGTACTACCATACTAAAAATAAAAAATAAACACTTTGATCTTGCATTAAGACTGGCAAATAAAAGAGCATGTATAATCTTAGGAGTTCATCTGTTACACTTAGTTATAAAAACAGCTAACAAGGTTAGCACTGCATTTAAGTTTAATTACTTTTTTGGGGCTTTCTACTCTTATCATATAAATAAGTAGGAAATATAGATGTAAAAATAAATACCTGCCCTCACAATAAATAATATATTCAAATGATAGAACTATGGAACAATAAATTCAAAATCATTGTACACAATGGCTAGGCCATAGGAAATTCTTAATTTAGATTTAAAAAGTTCAAACTCTTATGTATAGGCAGCATCTTAGAGAAAATATAGAAGACACTATATATTTTTGGATTAAATGAACTAGACATCCAAACAGTTAAGAAAATATAAAAAAACAAACACAATAAAAGAAAACATTTTTAGATTATAAAAAAGAATGAAAGTTTCTAGGGTAAAAAGTAATCTAAGCACTACTTTCATTCTTCACCCAATAAGTACTAAGTACTTGAATGAGGACATAAAAAACTGAAAACCATATTCAAAGATTAAAGTTTACCTTTATCTAATCTTATTACACAGCATTGTTATTTTCTTTATGGATAAATATCTGTAAATACAGTACTAAGTTAAAACTAGATATTTAGAAGCCAACACTTTTATAAGGGAAGAGCACTTCCTTTAGTGTTTAAAATTCTTAGGGACATAAAAAAATTCGAAATCAAGACAAAATAATCTAAAGACTCCTAATAAGTGAATCAAAAAGAATGTGAACATTATTAATTCTAGCAAGGTAGAAATATTAATATAGCTAAAAACATGAGACGATGGGGGAAACAGCAAAAATATCTGTGCTGATTTCTAGATTTCATTTAAATCTTTCTAAAATTGGAACGTGGTTTAAAAAATCCTCTTGCAACATATTCACAGCCTATATTTTTAATATTAAAAAATGCTTAAGGAAATACTCTCTAGTTGTAAAAAACACACACAAAAAAACAAAAAACAACAACAACAAAAAAAACACCCTAAAATTTAACCATTATTCTTCCATTTTTTTCCTTTTGGCAAATTAAGTTTAATGCATTCTAATTAAAATAGTTATGTAACATGTGTCCTTTTAAATAAAAGTATGCCAAAGGATTTGCATCTGAAATGGTGTTCCCTAAATGAATGATGGTTAGTTATGGGTAATCAACATCCATTAGGTAAATTATTTTTATAATTTGAGCATATAGCACAGTGCTTAGCTCCAAGTTTGCAAAGAGCCAAACTGCCCAGGCAGTATTGTTAAGTGGTTGAGCATTGACCTATGAACCAGGAAGTCATGGTTTGATTCCCAGTCAGGTCACATACTACTAGGTTGCCAGCTCAATCCTCAGTGTGGGACGTGCAGGAGGCAGCCAATCAATGATTCTCTCTCATCAATGATGTTTCTCTCTCTCTCTCCCCCCATCCCTTCCTCTCTGAAATACACACACACACACACACACACACACACACACACACACACATATATTTTTAAATAAAGAAAATGTGAGATAATAAATGTTTAGTGTTAAGTTTAGGGGTAATTTGTTATGCTGCAATAAATAATGGTAACACTGCTAGATTTTTATTT